GCTGCTGCTGCTGCTGCTGCTGCTGCCTGCCGAGTCGCAGTGGCAGGGGCCCCTTGAGCTGATGGGGGCCCTGTACCCTGTTGGGGGCCCCTCGGGGCCCCTTGGCTAGTTGTTAATGACCTTTGGGGGCTTGAGGGGCCCCCAGAAAGGGTACTAAATGCAGCAGGGCCCCCTGGGGCCCCTAACAGGGTACAGGTCACTCTGGGGGCCCCCGCGAGGCGCTGCTGCGTCGGGGGCCCCCCAAGAAAGGAGATTATGTTTAAGGAAGTCTATTATAAATTAATTAAATTCTTTTGTTAAAAGAATCTCAATTAAATCCCGCGAAAAGCCCGAAAAGAGAAACAGCAGCAGCAGCAGCAGCAGCAGCAGCAGCAGCACCGCCGCAGCGGCTGGGGCTCTGAGAGGAAAAGAGATGAAGGCGGGCTTAAATGGGATCTAAATGATTAGTTTTTGTTTTTAAAATTTCAATTTTATTTATTTTAAATAATTAAATTCTTTATTTGGGTTTGTTGAGGGGCAAAAGATCTGCTGCTGCTGCTGCTGCAGCAGCAGCAGCAAACCAACGAGGTCACCTCGAGCCTCTGCAGCATCGGCTGCCTTTGCTTCTTTTCTTCTTCATTTTGCTTGCCATTCATGTTTTATTTATTTATTTATTCTAATTAATTTGTTTGCTTTTAATTAATTTATTTATTTTTTATTTTTTACTCTTTTATTTGTTCATTTTAATCCAAGTTTCACTCCTCACGAGGGTTTCTGTGCCAACGGCTCCCTCCCTGCTTCCGGATTGCTTTATTTATTTATTTATTTATATATTTATTTATTTATTTATTTTATTTAATAATTTTATAATTTTTATTTTATTATTTGATTTCTTTTCGCTTTTTTCATTTACTTTTTCATCAAGTTGCAGGCTTTACTCTTTCACTTTTCTTGTTTGTGAGACTTCTCATCACGGCTTCTGTGCAGTACCCCAAAACCCTAAACCCTAAACCCTGAACGCTAAACGCTAAACCCTGAACCCTAAACCCTAAACCCTAAACCCTAAACCCTAAACCTCAAAACCTGAACCTTAAGCCCTAGGCGAAAAGCGCTAAAGCCTGGGGCGGGACGCTGAGCTGGGCAGAATTTCAAGGAAATTTCATCCACAGTTAATTAGGGTTTAGGGTTTAGGGTTTACGGTTTAGGGTTTATTTTGGTGAGTGCATCTTGATACCTGAAGGAGTAGGGTTTAGGGTTTAGGAGGGTTTAGGTTTTACTCTTGCTGCTTTTCCCGAAGTCAAACGCTGGTGAAGCAGCTCTGCACTTAAACACTAAACCCTAAACCCTAAACCCTAGACCCTAAAGACACAATCCCAGTCCCAAAACCGTACACTCCAAGCCCCAAACCCTAAACCTCAAACTCCACCCGCCCAAGCCCTAAACCCTAAACCCTAAACCCTAAACCCTAGGCCTCTGGGGAGCCCCACCGGCCAGAAGCTGCTTCATTTCTGAAGATTTATAAAAAGCATTTTTCTTTTTTTGGATTTTAATTTAAAAACCATTCGAAGAAGTTTGCAATTTAATTCTTTAAAAGTCCTTTTTTCTATTATCCTGGTTTTATTAGTTTTGCTTTTTCCTCTCAAGTTTCATCATTTCAGGGTTTAGAGTTTAGCTGCTAGGGTCAAGGGTTTAGGGTTTAGGGTTTGGGGTTTAGGGTTTAGCGTTTACTGTTTGGGGTTTAGAGTTTAGCGTTTAGGCTGTAGAGTCTAGAGTTAAGCTCTAGGGTTAAGGGCTGAGGGTTTAGGGTTTAGGGTTTAGGGTTTGGTCCACGAGGCGAAAACATCAAATAAAAATAAAAGGAACCAAAAGTTCGAATTAAATTAAAAATAAAAATTAAAAATATAAATTGGATTAAAGGGAAACTGAGATTTAAATTAATTAAAAAGAATTAATTGAATTGAAATTAATTAACAGTTTTAGTAATGGCACTTAAAGCAAAAAGACGAAATTGAGGTCTTAATTTAATTGAAAAATAATTTAATTCAAAAAGCTAATAATTAAATTTAAGATGACAATAATTAAAATAAAATAATAATAGTTAAATCTAAAGGAGTAAATTATTACTAAAGGAGTAAATTATTACTCCTTTAGATTTAATTATTATTATTTTCTTCCAATTATTGTCAT